AACAGGTTGTTCATAAATAGCTACCATTTATTGAGGCCTAACTATGTCACCTAAGTACAATGATGCTAAGAGGTAGATACTGTTATTATTCCCATTTTACAGATAAGAAAGACAAGCACAGAGGCGTTAAGTAAGAAAGATCACCAGCCAGTAACTCTTCAAGTCAAGGTTCAAATAGAGGCAATTTGGCCCCAGAACCTGAACTCTCAGCCACTTCCTGTTATTGTTTTTATTCACCATACAGCTCCTGCCAAGTCAGAGAAAAATTAGGGATCTTAGAGGCCTGAGAGGTTGGGGTGGAAATGGGATAGACTTAGAATAGAATCCCTAGAGTATGGTATATCTCACCAAACTGAGAGTCCTATGAAGTTCAAGTCCAGGATGGATCCTACAAGTCACCTAGACCACCTCCCAGTATTACCAGGGGCTTCAGTAAGAATGTATAGTTGCTAACAAGGGGCACCTGGGCGGCTCAGTCAGTTAAGTGTCTGCCTTCAGCTCAGGTCATGATCTTGGGGTCCTGGGATCGAGCCCCGCGTCCTCAGGTCCCTGCTCGGTGGGGAGTCTGCCTCTCCCTCTCCCTCTGCCCCTCCCACTGCTCATGCATATACTCTCTCTCTCTCAAATAAATAAAATCTTAATATATATATAGTGCTAACAAATCTGGCTGGGCAGGTGAAGACTGTCCTCTTAGGCCTGCATGTGAATGTGGCAGGCCTTCTGGGACCCAGTCCCGGTACTGGTACCTCTTTGAGCTAGCTCAAGGGCCTCCCACCCATACTCCTCAGGACCTGGTGAAGCATGTGGCCCTTCCTGATGTCCCAAGACGGAGCGAGACTTAAAGCAGGGAGTGAGGTTCCTGGTCTCACCCTCACTGTTCTCCAGGATGTTGGGGGCAAAGCCACCTTCATCTCCCACATTGGTGGCATCCTTGCCGTACTTGTCCTTGATGACCCCCTTGAGTGTGTGGTAGACCTCCGCCCCAAGTCGCATGGCGTCCCGAAAGCTCTCAGCGCCCACTGGGAGGATCATAAATTCCTGCATAGCCAGCTTATTCCCAGCATGAGAGCCACCATTGATCACGTTGAAGGCCTGGGGGCCACAGGACAGAAAAGTCACAGAGCACTTCCCCCCTCGACCCCCAGGAGCGTTAACCCAAGAGCCCAAATCTTCCCCAGCTTCCCAGACTCAAAGTCTCCTGTCCCCATCCTTTCTCTTTAGCTGCCTCAATGCACTTTCCCCCCAACATTCCTCACAAGGTTTCATGCTCCCCACCCCCCACCCCTGGGAGAGGCCCAGGCAGGGCAGACAGGGCTCACCGGCACAGGCAGGATGAGGTCCGAGTTTCCCGCCAGCTGAGCAATGTGGCGATACAGGGGCAACTCCCTCTCGGCCGCCCCTGCCTTACACACAGCCAGGGACACACCCAGGATGGCATTGGCCCCAAACTTGGCTGGAAGATGACAGAGGAAGGCACTGAGCAAAAATATCCCCTATCTGTTCGAGCCCTGGCCTCCACCTGTACTCCCCAAAAGGAGCCAGTAAAGGAGACCCCCTCCTCCCTCTCCACTCCTGCAACACCTCATCAGTGCTCTCCTGAAAACAGCGGGGACACGCACGCACGCACGCACGACGTGATGGGAAAGGGCAGAGAGCTCCACTTATTTCTAAACATCCTGAGACCACAGACTATCTCTTGCCAGCTCGCCCTCTTCGTGCTGCAAAGAAGTTCTTCCTTCTGTCTAATGTCACTCCCTCCCCTGCAGTTAAATTCATCTTCTCTTGGGGAACCTGGGTGGCTCAGTCCTTAAGCGTCTGCCTTCGGCTCAGGTCATGATCCCAGGGTCCTGGGATCGAGTCCCGCATTGGGCTCCCTGCTCTGCGGGAAGCCTGCTTCTCCCTCTCCCACTCCCCCTGCTTGTGTTCCCTCTCTCGCTGTGTCTCTCTCTGTCAAATAAATAAATAAAATCTTTAAAAAAAATTTCATCTTCTCTTATTCTGGCTCTGGGAGGAGAACGGAAGATGGGCTAAGTCCCGACAGTCCTTCCTATGGAAGCTCCCACAGCGCTCCACATTGTCTGCTCCACACGTCCTCCCCCTCCCGCCTCCCCACGTTCTCCCAGGCCCGGCTTACATTTGTTCTCAGTCCCATCCAGCTCCAGCATCAGGTTGTCCAGCTTCTCCTGCTCCACCACAGAGAGACCCTGTGGGCAGAGCCACCATCATCCCAGGCAGAGGCTGGGCCCCAGGGCAGAGGGCCCCACCCAATTCCCACACAGGGTCCCCTCTGGCCAGGGTTCCTGGGAGAGCAGCCGGTCTAGAAGAGGGGACCTGAACCCCATGGGAGCAGGGGGCAGTAAAGGAGTCTTCCCACCCTTCCCTTGGTAACCATGATTCCCAAGAGGTGGACTTTCTCCCTTTGCTCCCTCCTCCCCTAATCCAGGATTCCTTCCAAGACCCTGGTCCTGCCCACCAGCACCTCTGCCCGCCCGCCCCCTCCCGGCCCCCAGCAAAGAGTGGGCCTCACTGAGCTGACGAGGGCAGGAGCGATGGTGGTGTTAATGTGGTCCACTGCCTTCAGGACACCTGGGGAGAGGCAAGGAGGCCAGACAGGGTCAGGGTGGAAGACGCCAGAAGTGGGGGGCATGCAAAAAGGGGGCTGAGGACTGGTGTAAGGTATGAGTATAAAGCTGAGGGATGGGAGAGCCCGGAAAAGAGAAAAGTCCTCACCTTTGCCTAAGTAACGCTGTTTGTCCCCATCCCTCAGCTCCAGGGCCTCATAGATTCCAGTGGAGGCTCCACTGGGCACCGCAGCCCGGAAAAGACCTGGGAGAGGAACATGAAATAAGGGGGGGGGCATAGAAGGATACTACAGAGTGAGGGATTCCTTCAGCCTTCCCGCTCCAAACTGCCTGCCACATCCAGTCCCATCCCCGCACTGCTCTCTGACACAAACACACACACACATAGAGGCAGATGCCCAGGCAGTGGCCTCCTCATCCGCCCAGCTGAGGTCCCACATGCACAACGAGGAACCCACACACACGAAGCTATGCAGGCAGCACACACATGCACACATGCACGCAGGTGCACACACAGACGTGCAGAGGCATGGTATATCCCATACACTAAAATAGGACACAGAGATTGGCCTATCCTGGCTCCCCTGGACAAAGAGGACCCAACCCCCATAATCCAGGCTTGGAAGCCTGACCCAGCACCCCATCCCCACTGGGAATGAAGGCAGCTGCCCCTCCGGGGCCAGGGGAAAGCCGGCCCAACGGCTGTGGGAAGCCCCCTGCCCTGGTTCGCTACCTTTGGCAGTGTGGAGATCCACCTCCACCGTGGGATTCCCACGGGAGTCCAGAATCTCCCGGGCCCAGATCTTCTCTATCGACATGATGGCTGAGATCTTGGGTGGAAGGGAAGGAAGGAGAAAGATAAGAGGTTTAGAGAGGCGGAGCCTGATCAGTGGGAGGGGCTAGAGGCTGGGAGCGATGGGAAAGAGGTTACTGCAGTGGGTGGGGGTTGGGGAGGAGGTGGCTGCAGTCCTGGCTTTAGAAGGGATCACCCCCACCCCATGGGGAGAGAAGGTCAATGCAGTGAGGAAGGGGAGGTCACTGCAGTGGGGGGAAGGGGAGGATCAAACGGTGAGAAGGGAGGACACCACAGTGAGGAGGGAGGGGCACCGGCAGAGGTTGCGTCGCCCCCCCTCAGTAGCTCCGGCAGCCGACTGGTGGGGTTCCCCCAGATCTCGGAGTGTAATGGCTCCCAGGCTTGCATTTCTCCTTGGAGCCAAGAAGAGGATGGGCTGTCTGGGCAGCTGGAGCCTCTCCGGAGCCCCCATCCCACGCCAACTTAACACCCCAACCCCCACTCCGAGATCCCAGTTCCTCTCTCAAACATACGTCCCTCCTCTTCCCAAGAGATGTACAGTAGAGAAGTCTGGGGCGAGGGTCCTGGGGAAGCCCTCAGTCCCTGGGGGTTGAGCGGGGAAGGAGAAGAGATCTGGAGGGAGAGGCAAGGCTGGGCCCATGCTCCCCGCGCCCCCCCCCCCGCTCCTAGACAAATTCCCCCCATCCCTCCCCCGTGCAGCCGCGAGAGGTAATGTAAAAGGAGAGAGGCAATGTGGGGGAGGAGTGGGAAAGAAGGGAGTCTAGAAGTCTAGGGATGCTGAGGAATGGGAAGAGAAGACATTTCCCCAGATGCAAAGCCAGGGGACGTGCCAGGATAAAAATGCACCGCCCGGGGAGACCCCGAACTTAACAGCGACAGAACCCGAGGCGAAGAGGGGCGTGGGGAGAGGGTCAGGCAAGGGTAGAGAAAGGCGCAGTTAGAGAGAAACAGGTGCGGAGAGGCCTGGCGCCCCAATGAGGAGGGGGCGACAGCCAGAAACCGAGAGGAGCGGTCCCAAAAGGCCGGGGAGGGAGGGTGCCCGGGGGAGGTGCGGATGACGGAGCAGGTGCGCAGCGCGGGGGGGCGAGCGATGCGCGCAGGCCGGGGGAGAGGGCGGGGGGCGCGGCGGCTAGGGGAGGGGGCCGGAGGGGCGCAGGGGCCGGCCGGGGCTTCACCTCGGGGCTGCAGACTCAGCCTGTGGCGGCGGCGGCGGCGGCGGCGGAGCAGAGAGAGCGGGAGTGGTGGTGGCGGCGGCGGCGGCGGCTCCCTGGCGGCGGGCGGCGGGCGGGGGGCGGGCGGGGGGAGGCGCCGATAGGGCCGGGCGGGCGCATGTGACCCGGAGCCCCCGATGAGTCAGGAGCCTCCGGCGGAGGAGCACGTAGGAGCGCGGGTGGGGGGCCGATGGGAGGTGGGAGAACGGGGTGGGGGGAGCGGCCGGGAGGTGAGCGATGGGGGAGGGGCTGGGGGCGACCCAGGACCTGAGGCCCGGCACCCACGCGCGCTCACACCCACGCCCCGCTCCCCTGGAAAGTAACAGGCACAGCCTCACACCAGTGAAGCCCATGACAGACTTGGACTCTCACAACCCCGATCAGACACAAGAGTATCAAAATGTCTCTTTATTTGAAAACCAAACTGTTCCTAACACACCCAGCCGCCTCCGCAGCTCTTCTGCAGCCAACTCTGCAAGCATCCCCTGGGCCCAACCGGGCCTGATTCCCCTACACCTGCCTGAGGGCGGCCCCCAACAGCACACACACACACACACACACACACACACACCCAGGTTCCAGGCAGGGCTCAGGCCCACCCAGACGCTGCCCAGGTGCCCATTACAGAGCCTGGGCGGCAGGTTGTGATGAATTCCCAGGTCTGGGGCAAGAGAAGGCATGCTCTGACTCAGGATGAGGGATGTGAATGTGGCAGCACCACTACCTGGAAGTCTTCTCAGGTCTTGGGGCCAGTGTCTTTGATCTCCTGGAGGAAGAGGGCAGAAGTAAAGCCCCTGGGCATTACTGCATTCCCCTTGCTGCCTGTGCCCCCATCCAGAGTGCCCAGCCGCCACACTCCCCTGGGCTGGTCTCCCCAGTCTTCTCTTTCTGCCTTACCCTGCCCTCCTTTCTTCCCCCCACCGCTGTTTCCCGTTATTTTTAGCTTCAGATTTTTAGTGAAAGATCTTCCTCCCCTGCCTCCTCTTCTAGGCCCCGCTTCCATCCTCAACCACCAGCTCCACGCTCCACCCCCACCTCCCACACCGCACCCCAGACCTGTCCTTTCCAGCTGATCTTCACCACGTGTCACCCCACGCCGGCATCTCTGCCTGCCACCCCAATTCTCTTCCTTAGTTTTCCTCTCCTAATGTATTCTCCTAAGCCTTTTCTCAGCTCCTCCCAGGCCCTTCTGGTCCTTCCTCCTCACCCTGAGACACCCCCTGACTCCCAAGCCCAGTCTCTCCAAGGGTTCTCCCTGCCGGATCCCTTCCTCTGCCACCTCCTCCTAGAGCAACTTCTCTTGCCCCATCTGACGGGCCCTTGGCCTCCTCTTCCTGCTTCTCTGTCAGCTTCCTTACTGTCCCCGGAGGCTCAAAGAGCTACATGGATGGCAGCTCCAGTTTGGAGTCGCACTCAGCCTCAGCCTCCTGCTCCTGGGCCTCCTTCAACCTCTGACGGATCTCATCAGCTTCGGCCCGCTCCTCCTCCTCGTAGAAATCCTTATCCAGGCGCTCGAGGTGTGCCATCTGCACCAGGGCCTCCTGGCGGTAGTCATTCTCATCTGCGCACGGGTTGTCCAAAAGCACCAAGGCCCGCAGCTTGGGCAGGTCCCGGAGCTTGGCTAGCTCCCCGAGGTGCGTCACCATGTTGCCTCTGCCGGGTGTGGTCAGGAGGGATTCACCACAGGGGAATAATGGGCTTTGGGGGCCCCACTTCCAGGAAGAAGGCCCCTGCGGGAATCTCCTGCTGGGTTCCAGTTTCCCTAGAAACACTGCTCTGTGGATTGGCTTGCTCAGCACAGCCATATAGCCTAGCCGAGCCAGGGCGGTCCAACCCTACTCCAGTCCTGCCTCTGGCCTTCCAGGACACCGTGAGGGCCACAGTCTGTCCTGTAACATGCTGGTCATATTTCTCCTTTTGGAGCAACAAAGCTAGGTCACCAACCCTGTCGTGTAGTTGGAGAGAAGGGGGGACTCCCCCTTGCAGCGTCAAACTTCTTATGTGTCAGTCCTACCTGATCAAAGGTTAGAAAGGACCCCCCAGGCCAGTGGAGAAGGAACTGGGATCTGAGCTCATGGAGGTGGGTGCTAGGTTGGTGCTTCCCTCAGGAAGGAGCCTAGAGCTAGGGATGGTCTGGGGCCTCCGGGCCTGAAGAACAAGCTTCATCTAATGTGCTTCATTGTATAGTATGTTTCTTTTCAGATTCTTGCCTCATGCCTTTGAAATCAGGTTTAATTGTTTCCGCCTGTGTAGCCTCAGTGAAGGTGACTAAACCTCACACAGAGTTTCTCACTGAGAGCACTCCATGCACTTTGTGCTGGACTGTCCTGTGCATTTCTGGGGGGTGGGGGTGGGGGCTTAGCATCTTTGGCCCCAGAGGCATTTCCCAGTCATTGAGAAACTTCTCCCCTACCCTTACTTCCAAACAACTCCAGTTAGTAGCCATTGAGGAGTGTCTATTATCTCTGTCTAGACCATTAATAGGAAAAGAGCACCCCCCCCAACCCTACCAGACCAACAGGGCAGAACAAATTAGCAAGAGATTTCTCGAGGAGCCGTGGCAGGAATTGGGAGCTCCAAGGTGCAACCATCTCTTCCTACTTGGAGGTTCTCTTTCCATTACAAGCTTTGAGGATTTGGCCATCTTGACTAAGGAGGCAGTTACCTTACATCTTGCTTAAAGAAACATGCATAAAATCCTCCATCAGACAAGGGTTGCTGAAAGAACCCCCCCTCCCCCATCAATCCCCACTGCCTTTCAATCTAGAGATTTTCTTTCAAATACTCTTCTCTCCTCAAATATGAGCACATCTTGCATTTTTATATCAGTAAGGAAGCCATCCCTTACAGGTGGGGCTCAGGAGAAGAGAGGCAGGAAATGGGAAGGGAAATGGGGGTCCAGGAGATGGAGAAGGGCAGAGGAAATTTACATGGAATAGGACCAAGAAAAGAGAATTGGAGCCAAACTGTGAGTCCCTTGAGAATAGGGACCAACTCTGATTCCTTTAGATGTTCCCAAAATACAGCACCAAGCCTGGCACCTAGCACATTCTCAATAACTGTGGATTGAATGAATAAAGATTCAGGGGCCCCAGGCTATATACAGTAAGGAAAGGAGGGGTAAAGATCAGGATGGAGGATGAGGGGAGAGTCTAGGAGCAGACTAGGATTGGGGGGTTGGGGCCAGGGATGAACATGGGGTCAGAAGCTGCTCCTGGTCCAGGGTAGGGACAACGTAGGATGTGGAAGGGTGCACACCTCAGGTTGAGATACTGCAGCGATGTCATTTCCTTGGAGAAGCCACTCAGAGTTTCAATCTGGTTGTCTCGAAGGTGCAACGTAGTGAGATTGCTTAGGTGCTCCAAGCCCTCCACCTTCTTCAGCATGTTCTGGGCCTAGCCCCCAGGATACAGCACATAGATCAGGAGAAGGTAGCAGGGATAGGGAAGAGAAGTCAGAGATGCAGGAAACATAAGAGTGAAGACAGAGGGGTGCAGGAGGGGAGTGGAGGTGGGGAGAGATGGGTGTAGACAGTAAAGAAGGCTAGGAGAAGCTGCCAGTCCAGAGAAAGGTCAACAGGAACCCCCTGCTGCTCATCCAATGCCTACCAAAGCCACCGCTGATTCAGGAGGAGATGATTCAACCCACCCGAGGCCCATGAGCCCCCACTGCCCCACTGAGGAGAAATGGCTTCAGCGCCATCCTAGAATGAAGAAGCTCAAGAGCCAAAAAGACTTAACATTCAAGTGGCTTCCTTAGCCTGATATCTGTCCCTCATTTACGGCAAATTATGCTACTACCTGTATCAAAGCAAATTGTCTCTGTTCCCATGTATTATGTATTATCAGCCCTGTGAGGTAGGAAGGGCTCAATAAATGATACTAAATGCTCATGATGATGACGAGGTTAGTAGCTGAGCCTACGAGAAGCCAGGCCCCCTGGCCCCCTGAGCGGTGCCCTCTTGCCCGCACCAACCACCCTCTAACCCAGTGAGCTACCAGGAAGAGGTTCTTCAGCTTAGGAAGGTTGATTCCCAAGGTGCTGTCCAGCTGGTTCCCCTGAAGCTCCAGTGTGTGCAGGCTGATCAGCTTTTGGGGGTCCAGACCGGTCACCCTGTGGATGCGGTTCCCTAAGGAGCAGGAGGGCGGTAAGAGCTCAAAGGCTACTCCAAATGTTCAACAGTAGAGCCTGAATGTTGGGAGCCTCTGTATCATCCTCTCCCTCTAATGCGAGGTGGTTATGAGGAGGGACAGCTCCAGACTTGACACCTCTGGGGCCCTAGGGCAAGTGGTCTGGGAGTACAAGAGCCAAATGGACATGTCCATCCAAGCATCTGATGAGTGAATAAAGAGTGCCCAGCACCCAACATGCTTAACTCCTTCTCCTCCCTCAAATCTTTGCTCAGATGTCAGCTTTTCACTGATGCTTGTCCTAACCAACCTGTTTGAAGTTACCACCTGTGCCTCTACCTAGTCCCTTTATCCTAATATGTTTTCCACAGCACGTATCTCCTCTTCACATCGTACGTAAATTTACTTATTTATTATGTCCATTGGTAGCTGTCTGTCTCCCCCGAATAGAATGTAAACTACATGAGGGGCACCTGGGTGGTTCAGTCGAAGCATCTGCCTTCAGCTCAGGTCATGATCTCAGGGTCCTGGGATCGAGCCCCAGATGGGGCTCCCTGCTCAGTGGGAAGCCTGCTTCTCCCTCTCCCACTCCCCCTGCTTGTGTTCCCTCTTTCGCTGTGTCTCTCTCTGTCAAATAAATAAAATAAAATCTTAAAAAAAAAAAGAATGTGGGGCGCCTGGGTGGCTCAGTTGTTAAGCAACTGCCTTCCTAGATATAAATAAATAAATAAATAAATAAATAAATAAATAAATAAATAAATAAAATCTTTAAAAAAAAGAAAAAGAAAAAAGAAAAAAAAAGAATGTAAACTACATGAGACTAGGGATTTTGTTTTGTTCAGTGCTACATCTCCAGCACATAGAAATGTCATAATGAATCATAAGGACTGTCCGAATGAATGACTGAATGAATGAATGGAGATCGCTGTGTGGCACAGCCAAAGACCATACCACTCACTTCTGTTGGCCCAAGCTAAGGAGAGAATCTTGTGTAACCTGACCTAAGGACCCACCTTTGAGATCCAGGCTGCCCAGACGAGGGTGAGAGATGCCCTCAGTGTCAGTGATCTGGTTATAGGCAAAACTGGCAATCTGCAGGTAGGGCAGTTCATTCAGGTGGGCGCTCCGCAGATTGTTGCCATCAGCCTTGAGCCAGAGCAGGTGGGTAAGGTAATTGAGTGGGGACAAGTCTGTCAGGTGGTTCTCAGAAACATCCACATAGCGCAGATGGATGTAGGACCGCAACAAGTAGATGTCTGTCAGGTCCCTAGGAGATGGCAGAGGCCAGAGGTAGGGTTAAGAATCCAGCAAGTAGGGGCACCCGGGTGGCTCAGTCAGTTAAGCTGCTGCCTTCGGCTCGGGTCGTGATCCCAGGGTCCTGGCATCGAGCCCCAAGTTGGGCTCCCGGCTCAACGGAGAGCCTGCTTCTCCCTCTCCCTCTGCCTGCCTTTCTGCCTGCTTGTGCTCTCTCTCTATCAAATAAATTAAAAAAAAAAAAAAAAAAAAAGAATCCCGCAAGGACAGAGATGCTAAAGCAGAGGGCAATGTGGAGATGGCTTGTAATGGAGAGAAGAATGGGTGGCCAATGGGAGTGGTGAGGAAGGGGGAGGAAGGTAGGTGGGTTCTTCACAGGGAGCAGGGACTTCTGTCTGCGAAGAGCTGAGAACTGACCCTCTGAAGGACAAGAGGAGGAGTCCAGTAGGAATCCCCCTGACAGACCCTCACAGCCTCCAGTTCCCCAGGCCAGCTCTGATGCAGGGGGTCACAGGGCTCCTGAAAAGTAAATTCTATCCTTCCCTTCCACTGGCCAAGGTAAGAGAGATCCAGTCTCCCAGTGGCAACAGCCAGGCATGAGGGTGAGAGAGGAGATTGGGCCCTACAACCTCAGCCCTCTTCTGCTCCCCCATTAGCGCACCTCTCTTTAACCTCCAGCTTGACATAAGCGTGAGCCAGTCCATTGCCCGTCTTACAGAGCAAAGAAAGCCCTTCCTTCATCATGTCCTCCGTGAGGGGGGTGGGCATCCACTGCAAGAGGAAGTGGAGTCAGGCATCCCTTTCCTGCCCAACCCCCTCCCTAAGCCTTAGGACCCCGTTTCCACGCTCTCACTTCCTCTGAGTACTCTTCTCCCTCCTTCCTGGAGTCCTCCCACTCTTCTGTCTCCTTCTCATCATCTTCCTTTTCCAGATCATCCTGGTCTGGCTCGAAGTCTTCCAGCTCTTCATCTGACATCTTTTTCCCTGCTGAAGGCTCTGGAGTGAGAGATCAAGCTCAGTGACCCTCCCAAGAAAGAATGTGTCCTCAGCTCTGGCCAACCCTCAGCTCCCTCTCCTCCATTGACAGGGTACCGTTCCCATCACCCCTGACCTCTTCCCAACCGCGCTTCCCTCCTTAGCCCTGTGAGCATCTCATTTTGACTCCCAGCCTCCACTTCTGACTTCCCACCAAGGACCTCTCTCCCTTCAGGATGCCTTCCCAGGCCCTTCCTGCCCCTCACAGGGGCTCCAACGGTCTTCTAGCGGCTCTACCTCCCTGCTTCCTGGCCTCCCCCCTCCCCAGGTCTTCCCACCTCCCCCTTCAGCCACGTTCTCCTACCAACCTCCTACACCCTTCCCCTCCCTGCCCTCCCTAACCCCTGCTCCACTCATTTCTTTTCCCTTTCCCACCCTGTCTAGCCCCATTTCCGCGTCCCCTCTGGGGCACCAGACTGACGCCATCTCCAACCCACCCACCCAATCCTTCGCAACGGGGCGCAGACCCTGGTTCTGCTCTACTAAAAATGAGGTTCCGGAGAGGGTCTTGGCCTCGACAGGGAAAGAGTGTTTTGGAAGAGGGGAAAGGCGCAAGGAGGCGTTGTGTACTGCTGTTGTTATGGCAACGAGGGGGCGGGACACTTGGCTGCTTCAGCGGCGCAACCGCTGAGAGGGGGGCCGCGAGGGGACCGCGACAAACTGACGCGACAATCCGCCCCGGAGCAAGCGGACCCCTAGTGGCCCCCTAAGGAGGCCAACTTCCCAATCCTATTAAGTAAGTGCGTTAATTGGCCGAGGGCAAAAGGCAGTGGGTGGGGCTTGGAACTCCGCAGTGGGGAGGGGAGATGGGCGGGGCTACGCGGAAGTTACTCAAAACGTTAAAGGGACCGCACATCCTCAAAGCCAAAGTATTGTGACTTCAAAAGAAACATGCTCTGAAGCTGAAAGGGGATGAGGAGCAAGAAATACCAAGGTATGCGGTCTGGTTTCTACCCCCACCCCAGCCTTGCACTTAGCTGACCTTTGGAAGTTGACTTGGTGGAGTGGAAGGAGCCCAGGCCAATGCATGTTAAGACCTGGGTTGGAGGCTTGGCAGATCTGCAGTGTACTAGCAACTTACCTGAAACTCTACTTTCTCCTCTGTAAAATAGGCTTAGCTACACCAACTGACAGGGTTCGAGTATGTGTGTAATCTATGCTAATACACTGTAGATTGCTAAACCCGTTTGGAACATTCCCCTTTTCCTCATATCCTGGACTGGTTTGATGCAAACCTTTTCGGTGCTAGTAAGGGAGAACATCCAACAAGTGCCCACTGAAAATACTCCTCATCCAACGTTGTTATGTAGACAACAAGACCTGATCGAGCCATACCCAGGCACTCAGGTCTGTGTGACTTGCGGAAGGAGATGAAAAAGAACTTAAGAGTCAACAAGTATTTCCGGAGAGTTTGTGCCAGATACTGTGTGAGATGCCTTCACAAGTGATTTAATGTTCACACCAGTCCTGTGCGATAGATATTTGAAAGAAGAGGAAATTAAGGCTCAGGGTGGTTAATATTTATGACACAATTCCTGCCAGGAGAAAAAGAGACAGTACCAAATCTTATGGGATCTAGTATAAATAAAACAGGCAACAAGGTAAGATATCATGATTAATTATGAAATTGTGTGTTACAGACTTTATATAACATTCAAAGTGATCCGATGGAAGATGTGGCGGGCTGGAAATCAGGACCTTTTACCTCCTGCCCTGTCCAGCTTGGATAATACAGTTAATAGACAAATCTGGTCGCTTGATGTCATGGAACTAGCAGGGGTTGCAGAGGCAGAGACACCAGGTTCAAAACCCACTCTACCATTTAATCGCTATGTGTTCCTCAGCAGGTTATATAATTTTACTGAGGTTTAATTTTCACATTTGTGAAATGGGGATAAAGACATCCATTTCCATAAGGATCCTTAGAAGGTTAAAAGAGACAATGTGGGTAAATTGCCTTGCACTTAGTTGACCTCCAGTCAGGATCTCCCTGCCCCTCCCCACCTCTTGCCTGTTTCCCCGGTCCTGGGATTGCCATGAGGAATAAGAAAGGAAATGTGAAGGTTAGAAATGAGAGGCAAATGAACCAGACTGTATTGTTGGAGTGGGAAGGGAAAAGTCCAGGTGGTTTGATGTAACCAGAGGGAAAGGCTGTGATTTTCCTTGGCCCAGAAGAAAGAAGAAGACATATTAGGTGGGAAGAAAAGACATGACAGAAGGATTAGGGAAGTATCATTGAGCCTACTTTTATTAAGGACTTACTCTGTGCCAGGCTGTAAGTACTGGGCACTCAAGAACAGTAAAACAGTTCCTATCATCTGGAGCCTCACAATCCACTGACAGGGTTAAGTAAACGAGTAATTCAATATGAGACAGATGTTATAATAATGATACCTGACACTTGCCGAGCGTTTACTGAGTGTCAGGGGATAATTTTATAATACACGTATCCAGATAATATCATATATTCAGGGCAGAGATTCCAAACAGAGGAAGCACCGTTGGTAAGGTCTGGAGGAGAGAGAGCCCAATCAGTACCTGTGCAAAGAAAATAGATAGTTCGGGGCGCCTGAGTGTCTCAGTGGGTTAAGCAGCTGACTCTTGATTTCGACTCAGGTCGTGATCTCAGGGTCGTGGGATCGAGCCCCGTGCAGGGCTCCGCACTCAGTGTGGAGTTTCCTTGTCCCTCTCCCTCTGCTCCTCCCCCTGCTCTCTCTTTCTCAAATAAATAAATAAATAAAATGTAAAAAAAAAGAAAAAAGAAAGAAAGTAGGTAGTTCTGCTGGATGGAACAGTAGGTGCACTTAGGGGAATGAGGTAGGAGCTGCAAACAGAGCTAATCACACTAAGGAATCTGGACTTTATCCTAAAAACTGGGAGGAACCACTAGAGGTTTTATTTTGTGTTTCGTTGACAAGCACTGAATCTACCCTGTGTAATGATAGCTAGATACTCCATGTCCTCTCTGATGACATCCTTCCCTCTAGAATAGTCTAGATAGAATCTCCTGGGATTATAAAAGTAATATTTAATTAAACTTAAAATGCAATAGAGAAGTGTATATAGAGAAACATACAAGTTCATGAAGTCTCGCAGCATCACTCTTATTTATGAATAAACATATAGATTTTTGGGCACTTGGGTGGCCCAGTCAATTAAGCATCTGCCTTTGGCTCAGGTCATGATCCCATTGAGCCCCACATGGGGCTCCCTGCTCAGTGGGGAGCCTGCTTCTCCCTTTCCTGCTCCCCCTGCTTGTGCTCTCTCCCTCACCCTGTCAAATAAATAAATAAAATAAAATAAATTTTAAAAAGATACAGGTTTTTATTTTTATTTATTTTATTTTTTTAAAGATTTTATCCATTTATTTGACAGAGAGAGAGCCGCAAGCAGGGGGGAGTGGCAGGTGGAGGGACAGGGAAAAGCACGAAGCCGGATGTGGGGCTCGATCCCAGGACCCTGGGACCACGACCTGAGCTGAAGGCAGACGCTTAACGGACTGAGCCACCCAGGCGCCCCAAGGTATAGATTTTTTAAAAACAAAAATGCTGGGGTGCTTCTCCCTCTCCCATTCCCCCCTGCCTGTGTTCCCCCTCTCGCAGTGTCTCTCTCTATCAAATAAATAAATAAAAATCTAAAATAAAACACACACAAAAAAACAAAAATGCTATCAATCATACACACTGTTCAACAACTGGATTATTTTCATTTAATAATATGTCTTGGACATCTTTTATATCACTAAACATAGACCTACCTCTTTCTTTTTGATAGTTGTATAGCCTTCCATTATATGGCTATATGGTAATTTTTAACTGTTTCCTATTGATGGATATTAACTTTAAAAAATTGTCAACATTGGGGCACCTGGCTGGCTCAGTCAGTAAAGCATGAGACTCTTGATTGGGGTTGTGAGTTCAAGCCCCACACTGGGTGTAGAGTTTACTTTGAAAAAATCGTTTCAAATCGTTTTTCATGTTCCTGCAAAGTCATTAATTTTTTAATTGATTTTTAGGAGCTCTTTATTAAAGATTTGGAGATTAACTGTGGCAAAAACTGCCAGTTGCCTACCTGATATTCAGTCTACCCTTCTTCCTTACTAACAGAACTGTTTTTGAAAATGTGTTATTTGATTTTATTTTTTTTAAAGATTTTATTTACCTCTGCTCCTGGCAACCACTAATTTACTCCCTGTCTCTATAGATTTGCCTATTTTGCACATTTTATATAAATGAAATCATATAACACGTGGCCCTTTGTGACTACCTTCTTTCACCTTAGCATCATATTTTCTTTTTTTTTTTAAGATTTTATTTATTTATTTGACAGTGAGAGAGGGAACGCAAGCACGGGGGCGGGGAGGAGCAGGAGAGGGAGAAGCAGGCTTCCCGCTGAGCAGGGAGCCTGATGTGGGGTTCGATGTGGGGTTTGATGTGGGGTTCGATGTGGGGCTTGATCCCAGGACTCTGGGATCATGACCTGAGCTGAAGGCAGACACTTAACAACTGAGCCACCCAGGTGCCCCGCCTTAGCATCATATTTTCAAGGTTCATCTATATTGTAGCATCTGTCAGTACTTTGTCCCTTTTGGTTGCTGAGCAATTTTCCATTGTATGGTTTATGCCGCATTTTTTTTCATTCATCAGTTGATGGATATTTGGGTTGTTTCCATTTTTTGGCTATTATGAGTAACGCTGCTGTGAACATTCATGTACAAATTTTTGTGTGGCCATATGTTTTCATTTCTCTTGCTTACATACGCAATTAATATCAATACAAAAATAATACTCTTAGTATCAAAATATTGAATTCTGGGGGCACCTGGGTGGCTCAGTCGTTAAGCGTCTGCCTTTGGCTCAGGTCATGATCCCAGGGTCCTGGGATCGAGCCCTGCATCGGGCTCCCTGCTCCATGGGGAGTCTGCTTCTCCCTCTCCCACTCCCCCTGCTTATGTTCCCTCTCTTGCTGTGTCTCTCTCTGTCAAATAAATAAATAAAATCTTTAAAAAAATATATTCAATTCTGTGCCATAATGAAAGAATTTCAAAGGAGGACATGATCCTTTGCCACATAGAGATTTCATTCTAAAAAATTTACAGTATCTGGGCGCCTGGGTGGCTCAGTTGGTTGGGTGACTGCCTTCGGCTCAGGTCATGATCCTGGAGTCCTGGGATCGAGTCCCGGGATCGAGTCCCGCATCAGGCTCCCTGCTTGGCGGGGAGTCTGCTTCTCCCTCTGACCCTCTTCCCTCTCGTGCTCTCTATCTCTCATTCTCTCTCTCTCAAATAAATAAATAAAAATCTTTTTAAAAATAAATAAATAAAAAATTTACAGTATCAACATATTCATTCAGTCAAGTATATATATTGAGCACTTGCTATGTACTAAGCATTTTGCTAAGAGCCTAACGAAATATTATATGCAAATCCTTAGAAGGAAACTATTTTCATTTGAAAAATCTATTACAGGGGCACCTGGCTGGCTCAGTCAGTAGAACATGCGACTCTTGATCTTGGGGTTGTGAATTCGAGCCCCACATTGGGTGTAGAGATTACTTAAAAATAAAATATCTTTAAAAACTGAAAAAATCGATTACAATTACAACCTGACCTCAGACATTTCAATTTAGTTTATTGGCAAATTTTTCCTTACAAGTGAAATTGTGAGGAGTGGAATTGCTGTATCATATGGTAACTTTATATTTAACCTTTTAAGGAACTGCCACACTGTTTTCCAAAGTGGCTGCACCATTTAACATTTCCACCAGCATTGTTTGAGAGTTCTAATTTCGCCACATCCTGGCCAACAGTTGTTATTATCTGTGTTCTTGATTATAGCCATCCTAGGGGATGTGATGTGGTATTTTGTTGCAGTTTTGATTTTCATTTCTCTGATGGCTAAAGATGTTGAGCATTTTTTTATGTGTTTGTTAGCCATTTGTGTATCCTCTTTGGAGAACTGTCTATTCAGACTGTATTTTTTGACTGGGGTTTTCAGTCTTCTCATTATTGAGCTAACGAACAGAACTTTTATATTTCTGGGGGCAGCATTGTGCCCAGCTAAAAAAATTTCTCAGCCTCCATTGCTGATAGGGCAATGACGTATAAGTAAAGTCATTGGGTGAAACTTCTAGAAGGTCCCTTTTTCCTCCTTCCCTTCCTCTTACTGTTCAAAACAGGAATGTGATGGCTGCAGTTCCAGCAACTATGTGGGACCATGAGATGGCCCCGAAAATATAAACCACACGCTAAGATGCTAGAACAAATGTAGAGAGCAGCCTATGACACATAAAATATCATGAAGCTGTTATACCAACCTTGAACTGCCTCTCAAGACTTAATTTTATAAAAGAGAAAATAGGTTAAGCCACTGGGTTTTGGGGATCTATGTTGTAGCCAAATGCAGTTCTTACCTGATTATAACAAATTATCTCACAACTTAGTAGCTTAAAATGACATTCATTATCTCAGTTTCTGTGGATCAGGAATCCAAGAGTGGCTTAGCTGGGTTGCATCCAGCTGTTGGAAGGGGCTACAGTTATCTAAAGGCTTGACTGAGGCTGGAAGCTCTGCCTCCAAGAAACCTCATCGCTATGACTGCTAGCAGGATAGTTCCTTGCCATACGGGCTTTTCTGTAGGGCCACCTGAGTGTCTTCACAATATGGCAGCTGGCTTCCCCTAGAGCAAGCGATCCAAGAAAGAGACCAAGAGGGAGCAACTGTGCCTTTTAGAACTTAGTCTCCAAAGT